TGTAGTTTATGAAGAAATTCTGAAAGATCTTAAGGAGGGTGTTCACTAGTATTTTTTTTAATGTGAGTTTGCTCAACTCTAGAATTTCTGAAGTAACAGGAATACCAAGCAAGGCTAGAAATTTCTGGCCTCATCCATCCCTGTGATTTGGCTAGGGCTAGCTAGAGCTAACCCTCCTTCTGCAGTCTGCATATGGAGAAAATCACTGAAAGTCACATTTATTAGCACTGCAGTTTCTCCCTTCAGTCACGGAGGAGTAAAGTTCTCTCAGGGTAAATCATGGGTTATAGCAGTAAATATTTGTTCTGCTTGTTGGCTGCACCTTGCCTGACTGCAACAGCCTCGAGTTGTACATTGGGATCTCGCTCACCTTTACACTGAAGAGCCTCTGTGCTGAATCTCTAACATGGATCAGATTCCCAGATACACAAGTTAGTAGGGGTGAGGAACAAAGGGTGAAATCCAGTTAAACACTTGGCAAAATTCCTACTGGTTTGAAGAGAAACAAGGTTTTCTCAAGAACAGCTCTCAAGTTAATCAGTTTTCATATTGTGCCAAGTATATATTTCCTAGTTCTCCAGTCATTCAGAGTTTCGACAAGATCACTCCTGAACTTCAAAGTAGGGGGAAAAAATAAACAAAAGGTGGAGTTATGTGTCACTATAGTAAGATATTATAAGAATAAAGAAGGTATAAGCTTGATTTTCCTTTTTCTGTTCACATCTCCAGGAAACTTTGGAATTTCTAATATAAAACCTAAACGAAGTTTCCAAGTGTTTAATCACCAAGTAATTCCTTACAAGGCTGATTTGAGGCAGCTGTTCTTTTTTACTTTTTTTTTTTGTTTTAATCTCAGCCCTATTCCCTCATTTCTTGCTATATTCCTGACATAATTCCTTGGAAAGGAACTATTGACTATCTAAACGGGAGTTTCTGCTGTAATTAGGGTCAAGACGTATCTTTACCTCTGTGTCCTGTTGTGGTACAAAATGTTCATTTCAAATGCTTTGGCTCTCAGAGCAATCTTATACCCAATGCTGCCCATGCCAATGATCCCCAGAGTAGCTCCAGTAACTTCAACTCCCAGAAAATCGGCTTCACAATACTCCATACTTGAAGAAATTGCAATGTGATAGCCTGCAAGAAAAACACTCCAATATGAGAAACGAATGGGGGCCAACACAGAGGAAAAAGGCAAGAGTCTGGCCTTGTTGTGCTACTATAGCACACTTTTAACAATTACAAACACACAATTTTAAATAGCAATGTTTTTTGTAACATCCTAGGCAATTCCCTAAAATATTATGTCTTTCCCTGCCACATGTAGGTGACATTCCCATTTATTCTCACCGTACTACAAAAAGCCTTTTGATTTAATCTCCCCTAAAAATCCTTTTACTGCTTTAGACTTACAAAAATATTTCCCTGTTCTGCATCAAAAATCAAAATAATTATTGCCAATAACACTGCAGAGTTTGGAAATGTCATGTGGAGAATAACACCAGACGTTGGTTTTGCTGTTTAGAATAAGAACAAGTTTCCTGTTGACCTCTGCCACTCTCCTTGGAAAGAAAAGTGTGACTTCTTTAAAAAGCACTACTTGGTAATTTCCTTTAAACCTGCAAAATTTTGGATAGTTCTACAACACAGAAAATACACTTATATGCATAGAGACAGCACTTACTAGTCTGCTAGCAACTTGACAGGCTTCTGATATTTCAGGCTTCTGATATTGCCAGCTCTTCTAAAACATAAGCAGAATATTGTGAAAGTATCAAAAAATGCCTCAGGATAATACTCAGTCATGCCAAGGCAGAGCTATCAAAAATGCCACCAGGGCTAGTTTTCATAGATGGGAACACGAAATTAAATCTCCCTTCTAATCTGTCTCCTCCTTGTGAGGTAGAAACTTATTTAGGGGGAGACAAGTCTCCTTCGAGTTTCTGTAAATCCTGTGGTACTGCTGGCAAATCAAAGGCAGGTAAATTTAAAAGGGTAAATCTAGAGGAACTTTTCCTGAAGCAAGAGGCATTTTAACAAAGCCAAGGATAGGTCTATTGGGGAAATGGCAAGAAAAAATTGTGGAAGAAACTAGAAAAGCAGAAACTGGAGCAGGCTGCCTTGTTGCTCTGTAATGCCCCTTAAATTCCCCAATTCTGCATCAATCCATTTCAGTCCCTGAGAATACGTCCATGCCTCTGTCAGCCCCAGCTTTCAGCATATATCCTTATTCTGCTCCATTGTTGCCTCCCACACTCTAATTTCTTCTGCCAGTTTGTGATTGCAGAGATCATCTGATCTTTGGCATCTCCCACTTTTGGTCAATAGCACTGAAATGCTATCAGATCAAGAAACAGATCTTAGGTCAACCAAAAGTCATAGTCACTGAAAATCCACTGCTGAAGAAGGTAATGAAATGTAAAGTTTTCAGATGTAGGAAGCACACTTCAGTGTGTTGCTCATCTGAAACTGTTAAACTAAGTCTACAGTAATTATTTAGTCTAAAAACTAAACTCTAGCTTTTAAGAATGTTTGGTCCATAAAGCAAGGAGTTGTATTTGAATTGAATGTGATTAGATTCTGCTCAAGTATTTTCAACCCAGGCTGGTGACCTGTGAAAAGTAGACTCATAGGATTTTATTTATACCTGGTTCAAATATATGTTATATATGTTTGTGTATAATTTAATAATTTAGATATATTTACGATATATAAAATATATGAAAATATTGATTATTCTATTTGCCAGCCCAACATATTTAGATTTTCACATTTTATGTGAAACTATATGCACTACAGATAACTCTAGGAAAAGTCAAGTTAACGGCAGGGG